GGGCAAAGGGTGGGGGTAATGGTGGGGACACCTCTAATAATGTCAACATTAAAAATTTCTAATATAAAAATTAAAAAAAAAAATCCCTTATTTAGAAATTCATATTTATAAAAATAATTGTAGAAATTATGTAAGGCAGAAAATTTAGGTCTTATGTTTTCTTACTTGATACACACACACATGCACACACACACACACTTCAAGCTAATGACAAACCAGAGAGGGTTATTTTTTTAAGATAGCTGGAGTTTGGATTTCAACAGCTATAATTTATACATGTGATAAAGTATGTGTGAGAATCATCCTTAAATACATGAATATGTTTTAAAAAAAGTGTATACACACACACACACACATATACGTGCATACATACACATAAGTGTTTTGTTTTTGCCATGGAACTTTGTGTTCAAATAAAATGGTATTAGGGAACTTACAGATATAAAATAGAGAAAAGCAGAGCCTCTCTGTTTAAAGGGGAAACGTGAAGGGAGCAGGCGTATGTCCTTTGCCTCCTCTCCAACTTTCAAGCACCAGGGAACTACTAGGACACCTAGTTCACACTCAAGAACCTGCATGATGTAGAGAGTAGGTGGAACTAGTTAAGATGCAGCTTCAGCTAAAAAGACTTTAAGTGCAGACTATATATAAAATTGTACTTTTATTAACATTTTCACAAAATAAAACACAACTCCAAAGTACAGAGTAGTATGCTAAAGCACTAATGCAGTAGGTAATTGAGATGGATTTATGAAACAGTCATTTCATAGTTTTAAAATGACATGTTTCGCTATCATCTTAGTTACTTATTGTCTTACTTACAGAAGTCAAACTGAAGTCTTCATGAATACTTCCAAACAAATCAGGGGAAGAAACATCAATGGAAAGACTGGATATAAAAACAACAAAGAGAACAGTTAGCACCAAAGCCCTAAAGTAAAAAATGCTAATAAATGCTATATGTCAACTGCGCCTCAATAAAAACATGCAATGAACCTTATGTTAATCTGACTTTAAAACCTTTTGGTCAGTTCTCTGGGTAGTTGGAATAGAGATGGCAGAGGAGGTAGATCTTGAGTTCACCTCCTCCCACCAACACACCAAAACTACACCAAATACACAGAAATAAGCACAGTAAGACAGGCAAAACGAGGAGACGGTGAAATATGTTCTAAACAAAAACAGGACAAAACCCCAGGAAAAGAGCCTAAATGAAATGGAGATAAGCAAACTATCCAACAGAGCTCAAAGTAACGGCTATAGAAATGCTCAGTGCTTCAACAAAGAGGGAGAAAACCTACCAGAGTGAAGAATACAGTAACTAAAATGAAAAAAACAACTACAGGGAATCGATAGCAGATTAGATGCTGCAGAAGAACAAATCATAGATTTGGAAGACAAAGTCGTAAAAAATCAACTAATCAGAACAGCGAAAAGAAAAAAAGTATGGCGGATCTCTGGGACAACACCAAACATACTAATATGTGCTTGTAAAGAAAAAGGAACCCCTGTTTACGGTGCTGGGATTGTAAATTCGTGCAGCTACTATAGAAAACAGTATGGAGGTTCCTCAAAAACCTAAAATAAAATTACCACACTATCCAAACGTCCTCTCATGGGTATTTATTTTAAAAAAATACTCGAAAACACTAATTCAAGAAGACATATGTACCCTATGTTCATTGCAGCATTATTTACAATAGCCAAGTAATGGAAGCAACCTGGGTGTCTATAGATGAATGAATGGATAAAGACACTGTGATACACACACAGAGGAATATTGTTCGGCCATATAAAAGAGTAAAATATTGCCATTTGCAACAACATGTGTGGACGTAGAAGGTACTATGGTAGGTGAAGTCAGTCAGACAGAGAAAGACAAATACCATATGATTTTCCTTACATGTGGAATGTAAAACACAAATCAAATGAACAAATAAAACAAACAGAAATAGACTCATAGATAGAGAACCAACTGATGTCAGATGGGAGGGCGGCGAGGGAAAGGAAGAAAAAGGTGAAGGGGATCAGAGGGGTACGAAATTACAGTTACACAGTAAATAAGTCACAGGGATATTATGTACAGCTAAGGGGATATAGTCAATAATGTAACAGCTTTTATGAAACAGATTGTTACTAGAGTTATCACGGTGATCACTTCTTAAGGCATATAAATGCGGAATCACTATGTTCTACACCTGAAACTAATATAGTATTGTATATCAACTATAATTTTAAAAAATTAATCTTTTGGTCAAAAATCAAATAACTTTTGGTAAGTTTCTAATATTTAACAATTAATAGCTCAAAGTAGACACTATAAACTATTAACATGGGCCATATGAAATTTGCTTTTGGTCTCCCCGATCCTGACTTAATTTAATTTAAAAACAAATCATCAAGGGAGAAAATAACACAAAATTTAATTTCTAGGTACAGACTTACATAATTGAAATGACTGTGACTATCAGAATCTCCATGAAGCTTTTTCAAGCTTGCCTTCATAGTTAACCATTTACAAGTGAGTTGAGTTAGGGAATTAGTTAATAGCTCACAAGTTAACAGATATACAAAATTATGAAGGAGGGAATACCATAAATCTACTGATTAACTTATAGATATAACAATAGCAGGAATTCTTTTCTTTAAACCTGACCAAATGATTTTAGATTTGATAAGGAAGACTTATAGATAAAAATATCAAACAATATTTTAAAATAGAGAAGCATAAAAATATACCAATCTAAAAAATGTTAAAAAATAAACTAATGATAATGGAAACAACACAAGCTGACAGAAAATACAGAATGAGTGAAACAGAATGTAAAATTCTGAAATAAACTGCATTATATATTAGAACTCAGTAATGCATGAAACAAAAATTGTAACCAAACAATAGGAAGGAAAGACTTAATCAATTGTATCAGGGAACTAATTAATAATACAATTTCCTGGTGGATTAATACGTTAAACATACAAAATCAAATTAAAGGAAAATTAGAAGAATTAAGTATTTATTAAGTCTCAGAGAAGTGACAGTTTTCTATACTGAGAGGCAAAAACCAATACCAGGAAATAGATAAAGAGGAAAAAAATTATCTATTTTTCAATTATGAATTTAACAGGGATTTATTTCAGCATTGTGTGTGTCAGAGCATAAATCTTAGGTGCACAAAAGTTACACAAGCCAATGTCATTCAGAAAAACTAGATTTTTAAGAAATCCTATAGCACATTCTGAAAAAATATTAGAAAATAAAAGAATTATCATGTGGATTTGTAAATACCAAGAATCAGTATTTGTCCTCTGCAGCGCAAATAACAAAGCCTGACCCAGAATTAATCCCACTAACATAGTCTTTAACAAGAGTATTAGTGAAATCCTCTAAACCAGGATCGTAAAAGTTAACAAATAAGAGTTATATATTTTATTTTCTACTTTTTTATAAAACTTCATTTGAATAATTACTGAGCTAATCGTGTGTTCAGTTTGCGCAACATGTCTCTAGTAATGCAAAGATGAGTTTAGAAGATAAAGAAATTATGGAAAGAATATAGGTCAAATGTAGAAAAATGTAACTTTCATATAACAATTTCTCTCTCTTACTGGAAGTCTTAGGATATAAGACCAAATATATAACATCAGTCTGTATTTTCAATTGTCCTAAATGCATGAATGAGATGAATTTCAGTTTTACGTACTGTGTAGTATCTACATCCGCATCAGGCTTGGTGCTCAATTGTTCCAGACAATATATAAAAATCTAAGTAAAAGAATATGAAGTTTCAGTGACATGAACTCTTAGATTCTAATCTATTTCAACATTAAAATAATTTTATGTAAATATAAAATTCAGAAATACGTATCCTTATAAGAGGTATGTATTTATGAATGTGTATATATATATCTCCCATAAATGATACAATATACATCTATCAAAGTATATTGTATAAGTAACAGAAAGTTAAAAGCACCTATATTTTGATAGATATTGAACTTGCATATATTTTAGAAAAAACACCTTTTCCTTTCTCTCACTCACGCACATGCTCAACTTTCTTTGTGTGTCCACAAAGGACTGGTCCCAAAGAAGGAACTGCACACTCATGTCATTTCATCCGAACACAAAACAGGGAGAATATAAATGAAATATTGGAGTACTGTTAAAACAAACTGGAATTTTACCTTGACCTTTGTTACCTTACTTACTATAAACTATTATATACTGATAAAAATACATATATTTACTATAATGTATGTTATACATATATTCTAAATAAGAGGGGGTTGACAAGTAATTTGCATTATTTCAGGCTCAGGGTATCAGTGTTTTTACTTTATTACCTGCATGATATTGATGCTTAGTTGGCAAACCTCCTCTTGTGTTTTAGGTTGCTGAAAGACCTGTAAAGAAGAATTTTGGTGAAAATTTTTGGACTTACCTAAAAATATAAAATTTTATGAAGTTCAGTATAAAAAGTAAAACTGCTTCTAGTGTGTATAACCTTACTTTGAAAAGGGACATGAATGAAGAGCTGGACTACAGGTAGCGAGGGTTTCTACCTGCAGTGATTTTGCTCTGAGAAGACACTGATGTGGAGCTGCTTAGCAACACCTAAGTCACTTGTTTCCCTGGTATACAAAGTGTTAACAATGCAAGCAGTCTACCTACAACACTTACATTCACGTTTTTAACTTTCATCAGCCTCTCTTGGAATCAAGAAATCAACAGCCTATACATATAAATGAAATAAAACAAACCAAGCAGTCAGAGGGAGAAGCTCTTCAGCTGAAATGACTCAAAAATTTACAACTGTGATTCCCAACAGTTCATTGGGAAAGTCTGTAATAGAGATGGAATAGAACAGAAAACTTACACTGGCTTCTCCGGGCTTACAGTCTAGAACTCCTTTAAGTGACTGCAGAGAATGGACAATGCACTGTTCAAACTGATATGGCTGAAGGGAAAAAAAACACATGTATCTTAAAATTCAAAATAAGCAATGGTTATTAAGATATTTAAAAAAGTGAATATAGCCAAAAACTCTCAATTTTTCAGATTTTATGGAAAGAAACAGAGAAACAAACTGATAATCCAGTCATCGAGGTTTAGCCTGCTATGTTTTGCACCTGATATTTAAAAGCAGGTGAATCTTGAAATTCTAAAGTCCATCAAATTCAATAAGATCAGAAGTCAGGTATAACTAAAACTTTTCTTAAAAATTCTACTCTTCTGAGAGGCAAATGTGCCAATAAAAAGCAGACAAAACACTTTCATATTTTAAACCCTGCTTGCAGGGCATAGTCTGAATGAGCTCGATCTCTCAGATCTTCCACATGCTGGTACTGTTCAAGAAAATTTAATGTTAATAATGAGCTGGAAAAGACCCAAGATCTTTAAATTAAAAAGTCATGGCAGTCATTTCCTACATGCATTAAATCAGAAAATTAAATTTGAAAAATGTGCAACAAATAGATTCAAGAGAAATTTGAATGAGTCCCATCATCTTAGCTTCTAACTGTATTTAAGGTTTTACTTTGTGCCAGGCATTCTCCAGGTGATAGGAATATAAGAGTAAGAAAGACAGAGTTCTCATTAAGTGTAAATTCCAGGGAGACATTAACCATAAAAGAAAGATCAACAGAGCTCTTTCAAAAAACTCTTTTTAAAAGTAAAAAGTACAGAAGTAAAGTAAGCGCAAACCCAAACTAATTGTCATGAAGAAAACAAGTGGAACTCAGAGAAAAAATGGTGATGGGGATCTGTTCTAAACAGGATGGTTAAAGGCCCGAGACAGTGAGAACATTTCAGCTGAGAGTTGAAGGACAAGAGGAACCAGTCCCTAAAAAGAAAAGGGAAAGAGGGACATGAGCTCGGGGAGAAGAGCAGTATGTGCCTAGGCCACACCCAGGGTGGGCAGAGCCTGACGGGGCTGAGGGGCCACAGTGTGTCACAACCACTGAGCATGAGCTTGGACGCCAATAGATGAAGCAAAGGATCCGGATTCCATTCAGGGCTGTAGAACTGTGCAAGTCTCAAAGCTCCATTAAATCAGCTCTGTGCAAAAATCTGCAGTAAGAACCTCTCCTCAAAGCACATTTCAATTTTTAAAAGAGTTGGGGAAAAAGGAGAAAGAGACACCTGTATACAAGGGGAAAAGAAGGCAAGCTTATTTTCCAATAAAAAGGAACCCAGACTTAATGAAAGCTAAAACAGAGCAACTCTAATGCCATTTTAATACTGCACTTGGGAGCCACGAGAGGGCACCATGAAAAACACTTAAAAGCAGAAGTACCAAAAAAAAAAAAGAGGGGGTTGGTGTGTATAGGATGAAATACTAACTGTGCAGAGAGTATTTTAAGAGTCAAAATGTTTGCCAGATACCTGATCTTATCCAGCCAATGTACATGACTCAACAGGAATGAAAACCTAAGATGTTAACATAATAGAATTAAATCCAAAATTCAACTGTGGGCAGTTAAATGTTGAAATTCATGTGTGGTAATTGAGATTTCGTCTGTTAAAATATGAACTAGGTTTTCTTATTTTTGTTTTATATCTATATTAATATAATAAATGGATACTGAAGATCCCAATGAGCAGTTTCAGTTGAACTAGAAGTAATAGTGAGGAAACAGTGCTATCTCTGCATATTACAGTGAATCACCAATTTGGCTGACCAAAAGGAATTCCCACAAATCATTCCAGTTCTTCTGAAAGAAGAAAATTCTCAGATTTATCCACATTTTAAAAAGAGAGTATATTCAAGATGAGAAGAAACCAGGACGCTTCCCAACCAGCTCCTGCAGAGCGTGGGAGTGAAGTTCACACTGACGATGATACTCCAGCTGAAAGAACAGTCCTAAGGAGGCAAAGCTGTGTTCATTCCTCTAATGTGGTAAAGGAATGTTTTCCTATCTGTCACAGGGAAGGAAAAACCGAATCTCATTTCAACCAAATGGTTCTGGTGCTATAGAAATGTTCACAAAATATACATTAGAGATATGTAATTTAAGTCAGTGTTCAAAGTAAGAGTTTTAGTTAAGTTAAAAATACTCCAAGCTGAAATCTAGACTTTTATTCTAAGCACTGAAACTTTCTCTCTTAAGTGAGGTCCATGCTGAATGGTGAGACCCATGCTCAGCGTCATCAAGCCTGTCTTGTCGGCATGCTTCTTCAACAACATCTGATGAGGACTGTCTGGCACCACGAGTGTAACTTTCTGTGGGCCATTCAGCTACAAGGAGCAGTGTGTTTAGTTTTCTGGCTTGTGTGTGTGAGGCCCAACGTGAAGTTAGTTATAGAGGAGACAGTTTCTTACTACTACAGTTAAAATTTCATTTCCACAAATCTCAGCTGGAACAAATCAAAACCAAGCAGCAAGGGAACTTGCTGTCTCTCTGCCCCGGCTTATTTCATTTGCAGTAAGTTTTTCAGTGTTTGATGGTCCAAGGGTCCCCTTCTTTAGCCTGTCTTCCAGACTTGCTGTGATAAATCAGTGGGAGAGGGTTACATGAAAGAGCTTTGAAAATACTACGGCATAACAATAAACTTAAGATACTATTAGAGCCCGGCCAGGCGGGGCTCAGCGGCTGAGCGTCCACCTGGGACCCAGGAGATCAGGGTTCGATTCCCGGTCAGGGCACATGCCTGGGCTGCGGGCTCGATCAATGACTCTCTCATCATTGATGTTTCTACCTCTCTCTCTCCCTCTCCTGTCCTCTCTCTGAAATCAATAAAGATATAGTTTAAAAAAAAAAAGAAGATACTATTAGAGTGGCCTCAGTATTACAGGTATTAGTTGAATGAATAAAACTCCTTTATTGCGCACAAAGCTTTGTAGTTCAGTGCCCTATTGTACAGCATCTCATTTAACCTGAACTAGCAGCACTGTGAAAAGTGTTCTGCTGCTTCCTTAACGAGGGCAGAGGTTAGTGGCTTCTTTAAGACTGCATGGCTATGACAGAGCAGAACACAGGACTGAACCAGACTGATTCCAGAGCCAGTGCGGCATCTGCTCCGATACCAGCGCTGTCCCGCAAAGGTATAATCTGAGCCCCAGACACAAGCCATGCATACAGTTTCAGGTTTTCCAGTAACCTCATTAAGAGAACTAAAAAGAAAAGCTTAATTTTAATAAAATTTATGTAATGAAATATATCAAATTATTATTTCAACATGTAATAAATATAAAAAGTTGAGATATTTCACATTCTTTCTTTTTGTACTGAGTCTTTCAAATCTGATGTGTATTTTACATGAGCCATGCTTCAAGTGGCTGCTGTATTGGATGGCACAAGGTCTGTCCAACCTCCTTCCTCTAAATATTTAGTATGATGGAATTAGTTATAGAATAGTTTGTATTTAAACACAAATCATTATGAAAAAGAAACCAAATGAATCAAAACAGGTTTTTTAATTAAAAAATTCCTTTAAAATATGGTTACGAGGGATTATTTAAAATAACAAGTTCCCCTAATTTCAAGCATGATTTAATTTACAAATACGTGGAAGGAAGCACTGCTCTCCTAAACCACATTGTTATACATATAAAGGAAGGGACACTTGTACACATTTGCGTCAACTGAAGAAAGAGCCTTGACCTTTGGAGAAACAGAAGGAAAAATGTCAACTTGTCAAAAACTCAATTGTGAAAGGAAGACTGTCAATTAGAAATGCAGAAATTCGAGGAAATAAAGAAATATTACATGGGATTATTGCTTCTCAACAACCTGACTCAAATAAGTCATGGGGACATAATGTGCAGCACAGGGAATACAGTCAATGACATTATAATAACTTTGTGGAAAAAATGGTAAAGGGGGAAAAACCTGACTTCGCCACCACTTTATAAATTTGGCAAATCAAAACCATTTTATTCTAGTTTCCTTACCCACTCACTGAGTAGGCAGAAACTGGTCCATGACAAAGACATAAAACACGGTAACTGATGAAAACTATTCTCAAAGGTGGTTTTTTGAATCCTCACCCGAGGATGTTTTTCCATTGCTTTTCAGAGAGTGGAAGGGAGAGAGGGAGAGAGAGACACCGATGTGGGAGGGACATCGACTGGTCGCCTCCCGCACGCACCCCGACGGGGCTGGAGATCGAGCCTGCCACTGGGGTATGTGCCCTCAACCAGAAACAAACCCGAGGCCCTTCAGGCGCGGGCCAGCGCTCTAACCACTGAGCCAAACCGGCCAGGGCCAAAGGTATTTTGAAAATCTAAAATTCCCATCTGAAAAAGTGATCATTCTTCTGAATGAAGAGATCACGGCCACCCGACCAGCGTATATATCTGGAGGAGTTTGCTGTTGTTTTGTTTTGGCCTAGAAACCAGCCATAGCATTTTTTTCTACCCTGCTTTTATGAAAAATTCAAGTTGCTGAGTAACTTAGAATTAAGCATAATCTCTTAGAAAATACAGTGAAACAAAACTAGTAAGTGATACAATGAAAATGATTATTCCAAAAAAAGTCCACTTTTTATTAATTTTTAAGTATGTGTGGTTAGTGTTCAGCAAAAATGACCCTGAGAAGAAAACTTTAAGTAATTTATTTTTCTATTTCCAGAAACTATTTAGCTTCAATAGAGAGCACATGCTCCTTATTAATACAATAAATCATTTACTTCGAATATAATATGCACTAATGATTAGCCATTTAAGAGAATTTAAACTTACTAGAGAAGTCAGCCCTTCATTATCCACAACCCAGTCCTCCTTCTCAGCCAACCTCTTCACTTCTGTAGGGAAAACAAAGACACGAGTGCTTTTCACTTTAGTTATTTCCCTGAACTTTATAGAGATAAAAATCTATGGGTTAGGGTTTTAAATTGTTTTTTATAGGTTTGTAAAACATTGGTGAAACTAGGTACAGAATTTAATTCTGGTAGACTCAAGGATTTAAATGTGATCACTGGATTTTTCTAATAAAACATTAATGTAAGTAAAATTTTTGACTACATAGCCCAATTTGGAGAATGCTAGACTAGGTTTAATACTAATGTTAGACATTTATTACTTATTCAGCACCGTTGATAATATTAAACATGTACAAAATAACTCTACAATGTTTTTTTCCTTAAATTTCTAATGAACAATTTAGATTCTGTTTTAACCCTATGCATTCTTGACAATGGCAGTCTGATTCTCACTTGGCTAAAGGAATGTGACCTGTCCAAGCCTTTAGCACTGTGGTCTGGTTTAGGTCCCTGAGAGGAGGAGGTGGTGAATTAAGAGGACACTGTTCAGTTTCTCACTGGATTCCACTCCTTTTCCATTTACAGAGTGCATTAGCACCAATTCTGTATAGACGTGAACTTCTTACTGATGGTAATGATGATAGTCATGCCTAAAGGGCAGCCTTGTAATGATAATCTTAATTGTTTTTTATAACTGTATGCAAAAATCCCCCAAACTCTAGAAAGTATGAAGAAAATGAGCACTACCTATAATTTCTGCTACTTGAAGAACCACTGCTAACGGTCTTTCTTCTGATTTTACATTGCTCTTTCTAAATTAAACTTTTCAAATACACATATATATTTTTTCAAAAATGGGATAACAGTTTATATACATTTTATATTCTACTTTTTCTACTTAACATTGCCTAAGGATGTTTTTATAGCCTTAAATATTTTTCAAGTATATCCATCTTTATTTCTGCATGGTCTGGTGTCTCAAATTTTTTAGAAATTCCTTTTGAGAAAGTTCTATTGAGCAGCTACAGATATTCTAAAATATTCAAATTTCCATAAACTTCTTGGTTTCAATGATTTGGAAACTAGAAAGAGGTGACATATTCAGATAACCATTGTCTAGTAAATGTCATCAATTTTTCTTAATATACCTTCCGCTGTGTGTTGCAGTGTGACCACCACACAACGTACTCGGAGATCCAAAATAAGATCCTGGATCGTCTGTAACATGTCATTGGGAATTTCAAGGGCAGTCAGTGATTCATAAGTAAGCCTGTATAATAAACACAATGAAACAAAAGTGAGCAGAGCGCAAACAAAGCAGCCCATCACCATTTTGGCCACGCTGTAATAATTCATCATGGAGCTTAGAAGCTGCAATATTATGTTGAAAATAAGATAAAAGTAAGACCATACGATGGATTATAATATAACACTAACACTATGTTAAACAATGTAAGATGCACAACCAGTATGACACGCTCATCAAACGTAAGACCAGGTGGCTTTGAGAGCTGCTAGATGACACAGGAAACAGTGGGGCAGAAGGACACAAAGTAAAATTCTTCGTAGGATATATTAAAAATCTATCACATCCCGAGTATTTATTTTGACAGACAAAAAAATTTACCCTTTTCAGGAAAATGTGTTCCTGTTTACCTTATGGTCTGGATGACATGAGCGAGCCACTGTCCAGAGAGCTCAGGCTTCACCTCCCAGCCTCCATACTGTCTCAGGCCACCCTCAGGGATGCTGAGCGGGAGCAACGCTCCACGGATCAGCTTCACGAGACACTGCATTACTTCCTGAATCATTTTCTAGACAATAATAAAGAAATAAACTGCAGTAAAAGTCACTAATTTGATTAAATCAGATGAAAGATTCTGCTTGAGAGAGGATGAATATATTGACCGTAAATAGTCTTCTACTGTGATTGAGAAAACCCTACCCTGTGAAAAGTCTACATATTTATCCTTAACTTACCTTAAAATCATTTTGTCTTTGCCTGACGTTCTTCGATCTTTCAATCTGGCCTGACTTCTCAGCAGTCTTAAAAATTAAAAAACAAACAAACACACATTTATCTTTTGAAATAAGTTACAAAAATAAGAAATGCTTTAGGGGTTGTATACAGAAAACCATGAAGTGTGGCTCTAACTTGATGAAAAGAACTGCATAAGAAACAGTCTAACTTTCTGATTAAAGGGTGATTAACAGGAACCTTTCTTATTCTAGCAAAAAGTTAGGAGTCTTCCTAAAACACATAAGTACAATTCCCAAAATGAACATAAGTATTAACTGACACTACCTTTCTTTATAGGGACATTTCTTAGGTCATTTTCATCAAAAATCTGATATAGTTAAACCTAAAAGTATCATACCCATGGTAACATTCTCAATACCATTTCTCACTGACCAGAATTGAAATAAAGATGAACTCCAGATTAATGTCTAGTAATCTCAGGATATCCATTCCACTCCCTTGACAAATATTTTTATGCATATAAGCATTACATCTGACATTTTATATTTAAAAAATTACAAATCATTGCTCTTCTTCAGAGGTTTTACAGTCTACCTTAGGATAAAATATATGACAGAATTCTGAAATTAATTTTTTATCTATTTACTGATACCCATGATTTCCTCTGATATTTCTCTCCTCCTTAAAGTAATGTGCAGATGACTACATTGCATTGATTAAAGAGAAATCTATTCAACTGAATTTCAGTTAACTTTTAATTACCAACTTTCCTAAAAACTAAATATTATTATATAAAATGCCTTAGAAAGGCGAGCTTAGGAAACTTTCCAAATAAAGAAGTAACATAATGGTACAATGTAAAAGAAAATTCTGGTATTTCATTAACATAATATAAAAGTTATCTTTTAAAGTTAAAACGTTCATGTATTATTGGTTAAAGACAAGTCAAGAAAACTTTCACGTTAAGAATAATTGCATTACAAATGATGATATTGACCTGAAGTTAATTTTAAAACATAAGTAATGTTATACATATTTTATGTATAAGCTAGGAACATAGTGTATAGAGTCGGTTTATATAATGAATATTACTGACGTGAATGCATAAAAGAAGAGTAAGGACTGCAAATGTTTTCAACAAAAATATCAGACACACCTGATAAAAAGTTGTCAGCATACACTCAGACACACAACTTCTCAGGCTCTAATCTACAGTTAACTGAAAATTTTATGTTAAAGTATGCAGCTTTACCACTTTTTCTTTCTGGAAATACACTTTTGCTGTGAAATAATTAAACTTTAGTTTCTGAAAAGAACCAAACCCAAAATGTACCACAATAATAGTTCAATAAGCAAATTCCTAAGGTCACTGGCAAACAACACTCAAAATTCTTTGCACACCAAGATTTAACTCAGAAACTGATGTTTTTGTCCCTTTATTTTTATGACACGTGAGAAGTGACTGAAGTGCTTTAGAGTTGCAGTGAGAAGTGACTGGAGAGGTCGTGTGAAGAGCGTGACAAGCTGGGAGAGGCTGCAGTTACCAGGGAACCAGGAGGGCATCTTAGGCTGCAGGAGGGCAGGAGGGATCCGGAGGAGAGCTGAGATACTCAGAGGCTTCTGAGGCACAAGTGGCTGAACCTAGTGATTCCACTGGGAGTTTCAGCAAGAAAGGAGATGTCAAGAGTGACTTCCATCTGAGTCACGACCACTCAGGTAAGTCCAAATGGCCCTGAAGCTGTTAGTCTACTTTCTGTTTCTGTCAGGGTGACGCTCTGATTCAAAACAAGACTTGGTGATAGAGTCGCCCAGGTGTGCAAAAGCAGACACGTGGCCCCTGCTTACTGAGCCGATGAAGAGCTATTCTCTAAGTGCTGAGTTTTCATCAGGTCTCTGTCTTAGGTACTTACTCTTTTTCCTTTATACTCCCTCACTAATTTATTCTCAGGGCTTCAAATATCATTTCTATCTAAGGCCGTTCTACTTTGGGACCTGCACCTAATTCTAATGTGTATGTGGGAGGGGGAGGGGGATACGAGGGGCTCCCCACACAACAAATAATTCTCCAGACCCCAGCTGGGTGTCCGATAATTCAACTCAATGTTGACATTACCAGGAGTCAAATTCCACAGTTAGTGATTCAGTCCTGCAAGACTGCCCCGGCCCCCCTCACCACACACAGGCACACACACACAGGCACACATGCGTGTACACTCAGATGCCAATCACGAGCCCAGGTTATCACCTGTGCTTCTGACTGACTGGCTACAGGCTGAAGGTTCCTACGAACCCCTCCTCAGTTCCAATAAATTTTCTAGAGTGGCTCAAAGAACTCAGAGAAACATAACACTTGCTAGATAACTGACTTATCATAAAAGAATATAACTCAGGGACAGACAGATGGAAATGACGCACAGGGCAGGGCAGGGCACCCCTTCTCTGAGCAGGCTACTGACACAGAATCTCCACATGTTCACCAACTCAGAAGCTCTCTGAACCTTTCCTTTTGGGTTTCAATGGAGGCTGGGTTAAATCATTGGCCACTGGTGACTAAGCTCAGTCTCCGGCTACTTAGGAGGTTTGGGGGTGAAAGCTCCAACCATCCAATCACATGGTTGGTGTTCTGGGCTACCAGTCCTTCAGCATTAGGTGGGGACCCTAAGCCACCTCATTAACAAAAGATACCTTCATTATTCCTCACTTCAGAAATTCCAAAGGTTTTAGGAGCTCTGTGCCAGGACAAAGACCAAATAGATATTCATATATTATATATCACATTTTCAAATTCATATATACAGCCCAAATCTTTCCTCTGACAATTTGAATTTCAGATTGCCTACTTGATATTTCTTCTTGAGTAAGTCACAGGAATTTCAAATGCAACACATTAAAATGAAGAACTGAGATCTTCCCCCAGTGAAGTTCTTTCCCAGGTCTTTCTAGGAAAACGGCACGCCCACGCCCTTGGGAGCCGAGGGAGCTGTACCTGAATCCCTGTCCTCATCACCCTCATGCAACCCATTGGTAATCCTGTGAACACTGCTTCCAAAACACATACAAAACTGGTCATTTTCTCTCCAACTCTACCAACAGAACCTTAATCCAACCACTGTTTCCTGGCTGGACGGCCTCAAGAGCATCTCACCTTGGTTTTTGTTCCCTGCCAACTCATTCTTGAACAGGCAACCAGAGTGGTCTTTCTGAAACCAAAAAATCTGGTCAGGTAACTCCACCACTCATAGTTTTTCCATGACTAGCACAGCACCTAGAATACGAACTCCTTCCCAGGCCTGCTCCCTGCCTCGGCCCTTGCTTCTCTCGGCACACTCGCCCACTGCTCAGTATACTCTGGATGCTGTGTCTTTCTTCCTGCCCAGCTCCTGTCCTCAGTTTTGTGTGTGCTGCTCTCTGCCGAGTGCACCCTGCCTGATGCTTAGTGTAGCTGTTTCCTCCTCTTGCTTCAAGTTTCAGTTTCAACAGCATCTCCACAGATACCTTCCCTGACCTCCAGCCCACCACTGATATTCTTTCTCTTAACACTGTTTCTAGTATAGCTGTTACCAAAATTTAGGATGGAGGGGAGAGGACATGTTTATCTTGGTCACTATTTTACCTATATTGTATGTATGTATATTAAAATTTGTGGGTGTATCATATGTGTGTACATGTGTGTGTTTCAGTACCTGGCACACAGAGGTTTTTCAGGGCATTCAATAAATATCTGGTGATGAAGTACCAAGGTTAGGGCTCTTCAGAACCTCCTGGAACCCATTTCAGAAGGCATGGTGGCCCTGAACACCACCAGCTTAATTGAAAGGGCTTCTTTAAAACACCTGAGTCTCCACACAGTAGGCTGACCCTCTGAAGATCTGTGGGCATAACCCTGTGATATGCTCCTGAAATGTCCAGCAGATCAATGCTTCTCCTGGAGACTTAAGATGTCAACAAAAGGGAGGAGCAGAGGTTTAAGAAATGTGTGTGAATGCTGGGGCCGGGAGGACTGTTTTAGGTGTGGATTTAGATGTTGCTGAGAAGCCAGAACCTACTGTGATGTCAGGAGGTATCCTGTACAGGGAAATCTACGTTAAGGACATGGTGATGCTTAATTCTCTGTGTCAACTTGACTGGGTCATGGATGCCCAGAAATTTGGTTACACATTACTCTGGGTGAGTTTGGGAGGGTGTCTCTAGATGTGATTAATATTTGAATTCATAGGCTAAAGGAAGCTGCTTGCCTTCCTCAATGTGGGTGGGTCCTGGCCAATCAGTGAAAGGTCTGAATAGAACAAAAAGGCCAAAGTAGGGGGACTTGCTACAGCTTGACTGCCTGAGCTGGGACATTTGCCTTTTCCAGCCTTCAGACTGGAACGGAAACAATGGTGATTACCAGGTCTTAAGGCCAATGGCTATCAAATGGGAACTACACAAGGGCTCTCCTGAGTCTCCAGCTTGCTAACTGCAGCTGAGCGTGAGCCCTGTTAACCTCTATAATCATGTGAGCCAATCCTCATAATAAATCTTTGTCTTGACATATATGGCTGGACACAGAACCAACATCCTCTTGATTCTGTTTCTCTGAACCCTAATAGAGTCCTGGGCTAGTGCTGTGGAGGAACGGATGGAACTCTGAACGAAAGGTGTCATTTGTCTCAAGGAAGGGTCATGCCAATATAAAACTGTGACATATCTTGACCGTCAGATGGCGTATTTTCTAGTTGTATCTGCCATAGCAGCTGATACTGAACTTTTCATATATTGGGCTTGTTCACTGGGAAGATTATTTCATAGTCCTTTGTCTGTGAAATATTTTCAAATCAAAGAAAAAAGTGAGAATCAATTATTAAAATACATGATGTTAAAATTAAGGCAAAATTTTGTCAGAACAATTTTGCCCACCACACATGCTAATGAATACATGATGCCATCTACTGCACAGAATTATTTTATGAACTTCAAGGGCCCGTCTCCAAATATGTGAAAAATGGAAGGTAGGGGGTTAGCTGTGAGGAATACTTCTTGCCATCATTAATTAAAAACAGCTTTCTTATTGTTTTAACCTAATGAATAATTGAATACCTCCAACACACTGAATTATGTAAGTCTGCTCTATTTTTTAAATCTAATTTTGAAACATAAAATGCTATATACTATAAATTATAAAACTTTTTAAAATTCTGATTCCTACTATTTAAAAATTATTTGTATGCTTTAAAATTTTCATCCCAAAATACCCTGTATTTAAAATATATCTTAAGGTGAGATCTTAACCTACAATTAACCATTTCGTTAACTAAAAACCTTAACTCTTTCCTGCACACACAGACCAAAACTACTTTGTGGTGAGACCAACGGCTAGATTTCACTGTTTTGATTCACATATGTTACTTTACATGGGCTTGACTGGTTTGAAGAACTGACTATTTTTTAAACTGTTGAAAACTCCATCTAACTCTTCAACGGATGGGCTCTTAATGAAACAAAGTTCTATAACAAGAAATTTCAAGCAAACTGGGTTTTTAAATGTTATAGAGCTTTCTTGTTGAGATAAAGTAGTAACTATCAAAAGCCCAGAGCTCTTCCCATCTTTAAGTTTCTGGATCTCACTCAGAGAATGAAATGGTAGACACACTTTCTTAACTCTCCCATTCTCTTCTGCTGCCCTTTGGTGTCTTTTTAGCTTTTCAATAGAGGGTAAATAGTTTAAAAACATGCCCAAATATGTAGAGAAATTATATTTAATTAATAATTATTACTATAAACTTCTAAGAAAAATTCATAAATACGATTAGGTAGAAATACTACAGACATTTCCAACTCGGAACAACTAATTAAAACAATTTTTCAGTAGTAATGTTCATGAGTTCAGAAGTAGCTCATTTATTTTACAACTAGGTATAATCTGTAAGGAAGGAAAATGTATTCCCTTTTACTAAAATACCTCTGGTCAAAAGTACCTGGGAATTTTACAAACTAAAAAGACCCACAATAAGGCAACTACTGTCGATGTGTGGTCGACCCACAGGAACTGATCCAATTGGAAGGAAAAAAACCACTTGGCTGGAAAAGAGCTAGGTGTAAAATCCATTTCCTAAGGGGATTCCTCAGATGAGTTCACCCACCTTAACACTGCTCAACACTAATCTAGCAGTGCTATCCAGTATTTCTTAATGCTATTAAACTGTTCACTGAATACCTATATGCACCAGGGCAATGAGATTAAAACCACAATGAGGTGTCACCTCACACCTGTCAGAATGGCTCCATCAACAAATCAGCAAACGACATGTGCTGGCGAAGGTGTGGGGAAAGGGGAGCCCCGGTGCACTGCTGGTGGGAATGCAGACTGGTGCAGCCACTATGGAAAACAGTATGGAGGTTCCTCAAAAAATTAAAAATGGAGCTGCCTTCTGACCCAGTGATCCCACTCCTAGGAATGTATCCTAAGAATCCTGAAACACTAATCAGAAAGAATATATGCACCCCTATGTTCACAGCAGCACAGTTTACAATAGGTAAGATCTGGAAACAGCCCAAGTGCCCATCAGTAGATGAGTAGATAGAAAAGCTGTGGGACATTCACACCATGGAATACTATGCAGCTGTACAAAAGAAGGACCTCGTACCCTTTGGGACAGTATGGATGGACCTGGAGAATATTATGCTAAGTGAAATAAGCCAGGCAGAGAAAGACAAACATCACATGATCTCACTTATATGTGGAATCCAAAGAACTTAATAAACTGATGAACAGAATAGATTCAATGACATGGAAGCATGGATCAGACTGACAAATGTCAGAGGGATGGAGGAGGGCGGGTGGGTGGAGGGGGAGAGAGTAACCAAAGAATTTATATGCATGTATGTACAACCCAAGGACACGACAATGCTGGGGGGAGGGACTGGGAAGGGAGATGGGACCGGGTGGAACGGGTCATTGCAGAGAAAAAGGGACATCTGTAATATTTTAAACAAAAATAAAATTTAAAAATTAAAAAAAAAATACTGGAGTAAATATTTATTCCAAATAATAAGAGCAAATTCTTATTTATCTTCCAGACACTGAAATAAGCACTTCACTTATGTTAACTCACTCAATTCTCAAACTAGCCTTATGGAGTGAGCAGAGAAGTGAAGTTATTGCTAAGGGCACAGCTAATATATGATAAACATTGAGTGTTTCTAATTCGACACCAGTGTTCCGTACAAAAACATGTGAGCACTATGTGGCCATGGCACCGATATGGCAACATCTAGCCTTCCCAGGCCTCATACAAGCAACCTGAGTTAGAGATGGAGCAGATTAAAAGAGGAACTAGGCGAAGTGAGTGGTGCAGCTGTCCCACTGTGGGAAAGGGCAAGAAACCCAAATCTGTTCTCAGCATAGTAGTCATTCAACTCCAATCCAGACAAGTGAATAAAAATGTGAACTGATGGGGAAATGTTTGAAAGCAGAATGTTGAGAAATTTTTTTTCAGGACACCTGAAAAACTAAAATTAAAGCACTTTCTTCCTCAGCCAGCAATAAGCAACTTTGCATTTATGAAGGTCAGCCAAACCCTACATTTATTTTATGGGAGACTGACTTTCTCTGTATGGCTAACTTTTCAACATACCTTTTATATAACCAAGTGATACAAAAAGAATATAAGAAGGTTGTGACACTCATTATTGCTAAATATTTAAATGTTCACTTAGAAAGCACAGTAGCTGATACACACTGAAATTAAAGGCAGGAAAAACACAGTGATAACTCATGCTGAGGGGGCTGACTTCCCTACAGAGGCTGTTTTCTGATGCATTCTCATTTTTCTGTTTTCATGCATGAAGTAAACTTCATGGTTTAGGTAACTAACCATTCGTAGAAAGAAGAATCTAGGGATCTACTAGGTTTAAAAGAAACAGTGGAAAAATAAGAATTAAATATACAGTGGGGAAAAACAAAACAACAGCTCCAGAGCCCAACTCTTCTTCTTTAAGAGCAGCATACATGTCCACGGTCAAACAAGGCTGGATAGGCCACTGAAGGCCATATACCCAGCCACTCTTCACCAAGGAGAGAGGTCCTGAACCACAAACAAATGCTTGGCACAAAAAGGCAAAGACTGTACAGCCCTTTCCACATCCATTGTCTGCTTTGGCAAGTGCGAAAGTAGCAGGAAACAGCTTTACTGTCAGGAAGATCCCGACCTCCCCAGCTCTCCCAGGGCTGTAAAGAGTTCTCTCTGGAGACATGAAGCCAGAGCTGCCTTCTGCATGTTACAAGTGGGGCCTCCCTAGCAGCTGGAGGCAAAAGGTATTAGAGTGTCTATTCCAGGACCCAGGGGCCTCTCGCGGGCACCTGAAGTGACACTACAGAGTGATGAGTCTAAGCTCCAGTACTACACAGAGAAGTCATAACCCCTACGCTACCAATGATGATTAAGGCACTAAGTAAATGTGTGACCTGCGAAAATATAAAGGCTTATAGCAACTTCTGTAGAATGACCATGGGGACTAAAGAACAGAACCTTTACATTCCATCCACCTAGGAAATCGCCTAATTATATGAATTATTTTGAACCCGTGTGCAAGCATTTTATCCTTTGCTCACAGTCCACTGCACAATCATTTCACCCACAATTTCACCTAACACTATACTTCATTCAGAATCCCTGAAAATATTTCAAATTTTCTTTTTTTCTTTATCTCATTTAATCATCACAATCATCCTTGGAAACAGATATACTCAATATTTTCTTTTTACAGTTGAGGAAACTGAGTCCCAGGACAATTAACTTATTCAAGGTCATACAGTTATTAAGTGCTAGGGCTTTATAAGGCTTTTAACTAATCTTAAAATATCTGACACTAGTTATTGGTGTTTTAAGGTTTTAAAAAAGTCACTTCAGAATCTAAAATGTTTAAGACTAAAAATACACAATAACTCAGCTATATCTATAGTCATATTTGTGTACATACCTCACTGAAAAGGCTTCCATTAACATATGAAATCCAGAGTTTCCAGAAGTTAGGCAGCTGACTTAAAAGGAGCTTGGTCAATTTTTCAACAAATGCTACTCGGTGGGGAGATTTGTACCTCCATGCTGGGGGGAGAATGAAACACCATGAATATACTTTGAATCCGGAATAAAAACCTGTTTACACACACTGCCACTCCCGCCTGCAACTGCGCTCCACTTTGGCTGCAAAGCAGTAATATGCCATAATATGCCGAAAGACCAGCATGTCGTCTTCCCATCACCCCACCTCCAGGCTGTACTCTCCCCAGAAGTCCCTGCTTTCTCCTCGGGCATGGCCAGCAGGGCAGGGGTAGGGGCAGGCTGTGAGGAGGGCACAGCCCAGAGGCAGGGGGCACTTCACAGAGGAAGTTGTTTTGGCTTTTCAACGCTGTTTGTCTTCAGGATGTTTTATTTCTCTTTAAAAAGTCATGCCTTCAAACAGCAAAGTGAGGCAAAGGCAGGGCTGCCCCACAGCCAGTGTTTCAATTTTGAAGCTAATATCAACTAATTAGAAATGCTACTATCTACCCTATGCAGTGAAAATTCAGTAAGAAGTCAAGTTATCACAAAGGAACATATTCAAGAACAATCATGTAATGAATAACTCCTCCCGAAACAAAGAAATTTAAGAAAAAATAACACTTTTGAAGCCTCTTGGGTTACATGTAGCTTAAGGCAGTTATTGTAGTAAGTGGGAAATGAGGTCTTACAGCTTTCCTACTGGAAGGCTAAGTGGGCGGAAAGGCAGCAATCCTGCGAGCACTGGTCACTGCCAGCCCCTCAGCCTCTCCACAGCGCTCACTTCCCCGGTCCCCTTCCCTCCGCACCTCCACGCATGCCCGCATGCCCGGCAGGAGCGGGCAGAGGCACCCCCACAGCCCAATCCCCAGCAAGAGGAGGAGCACTTGGGGCCAACTTCTGACTTCTGCTCCGCAACTTCAAAGCAAGTCAAGAAAGGGAGCTTTCATTAATCCCTCCATCAACTACCCACTTCCTTTAAAACACTCCCAGGCAAAATAATGTTTTGTGGCTTAATATTACCATTATTATCCTAGTGGGAGAAGATGGATTTTATCCTCAAATGGGAATGTTTAATAACGTTCTAAACAGACAATATGTGGTTAGAAAAGAGGACTCCCATGGTACACAGTGAAGTCTGCCACCCACCCTTGTCTCCACTGCCCAGTTCGCAACTCCAGCCATGAGAAACCACTGTTATTAGTTTCTTGCGATTCTTTCTGAAATGTCTTTTATATACAAAGGCAAAGAGAAATATGTATTCTCCCTCCACCCAAATGAAAACACACTAAAAACACAGCTTTTTTTCACTTAGTGAGTCCTGAAGTTCTCCCATGTTTCCCCTCCCCCGCAGTTACATAGTGTTTCATGGAAGTATCATTATTTACAAAGTCCCCTCCTAACGGACAAGACTGTTTCCAGTCTTTTCCAGGTAACATCAGTGCTGTACCTCATCATTTAAGCATATGTGCAAGTACAGATGCTCCTCAGCTTACTATGGGGTTACAGTCCCATAAACCCACTGTAAGTTGAAAATATTGAAGGCAAAAATGCATCAAATACATCTAACCTACCAAGTGTTATAGCTTAGCCTCGCCTACCTTAAACACGATTCGAAGCCAATATCCCCCCAAAAAAACAAAAAACTGGCAACACAGTATACTGTAGTGTTGGCTACCAGCCCACATGACTGCCTCGCTGCCTGGGAGCAGCAGTCACTGCTGCCCGGCCTCACAGGGCAGTATCCAACGGCGTATCCAACCCAGGGGAGGGAAATCGCAATTCAAAATTCAAAGTATGGTTTCTACTGAATGTGTACTGCTCTCATAGCATCATAAAGTTGAAATACCATTAAGTCAAACCATCATTAAGTGGGGGACCGTTTGTATAAATATAGAATAAATTCTCTTGGATCCAAGGGTACACAGAGTTGTGGTTTTGACAGGTATTATTAAAATGACCTCTCCAGGGATTATTTACACACCCACGAGCAACACATGCAAGTTACAGCTTCCTTACAACCTCACCAATGAACAAACAGACCACATAAAACCCAACACCATAAACACTGGCGTTTTTTGTCAAGCCAGTATCTCACTGCAGTGTTACAGTGCCTTTTAGCTTTTATTATGACTGAAGTTGAGCACCTATTTATATGCTTAAGAGCCATTCAGACTTCTTTTTTGTGGTCCATAGAGCCTCTTCATTTATTGGGCAGGTTAGTCCTTTGTCTATATTATGAGTTGCAGGGAAAGCTTTAAATTCACTTGTCATATATGGGAAAGGCACGGTCCTTACTTAGGTGCACACTGCAAACTTGCACTTGTTCAACCAGCCAACATTTCCTGACTGTCCACCTTGTGCTAACTCTGTGGCCGCACTCCAAGGTCTGTCCATGAGGCTCACCATGGATTGATGCCCAACAGCACAGGTCTCCTGCAGTTAAATGGACAGCCAATGAAAGGGGTCCTAATGGTAACATGACATGAGTCTAGTGAGATAAGAGGTATATCTTATCTGCAGACAGAGCTGAAACAGACTAACTCCAGAGAAGCACTAACTGCTTTCAGAACAGCAGGTAGCATGTTACATAGCACAGGCCACGGCCTAGTGTGTCTTGGGCCAGTGACAAGGTAAAAATAGGACAAGAAAATCTAAACACTGAAAAAGCATTGGAAGACCTGCCTCATACAGTAGGAAGTACTCTTACATGATTTATTCCCAAAATCGATGTTTCAAAAGATGTGAGCTCCTCCATGCAGCTACACTGACCACGATTTTGTGTATCCCTCTTGTGAGAAACTCACCTGGTATGCTTGTATCACATACGTTTTGCAGGGCTTGTTTTAAATTAAAGTGAAAGCAATCTAACCTGAACACAAGTCCCCAGGGGCTATGAAGTTGGACAAGCTCTTTGTGCAGTCTGTCTGGCCTGCATTACTACACATCCATAGATTCTACATATATATATATATATATATGCGTGCGTGTGTGTATATATTTTAATTGGCATTCTGAAGAATAGGCATTCATCCTATTGCTTTGGTTCTGTTAGAAGCACTGGTTCCACCTCCAGCACAGTGAGGCACTGCATCATCAATTCAGCCTTCAGGTTCTCCTGACCCGCTGTGATCACACCACTCATTAAGCAACCTACTCCCTTTTTTTTTTTCCAATTATAAATTTAATTTAGAATGATAGATCCAGCTTATTTTATAAATTATTTTTTACCACTTGAGCTACTTTTTAAAACAATAATTCTAGGATTTCTTATTGAATTCTATGATTATATGTGTAATAGTTTAATTCTCTAAATTTTACACTGGTTTCAGTGAAACTTGACAGTCATTTTACACTTGATGTTGAATTCCTGTTTTCTTTTTCTTTTGGTCAGCTAGATCCACCTTCAAGTACCTTTCCTAGAAANTCATATATAAACGAGTTGGTCTCAAAGATCAGTCTGTCACAGAGAATGCCTCCACCTCAAGCAAAAAGAGGAAACATACCCTTTTCACCAATCTAAAAGAAAAATTTGTTTTGAAAACTACAAAATAAATGAACATAAAGTAAACTCAGCTACTCTCATGTTAAATATATCAACCAGTAAGTATTCTAACTGCAATGATTTTATGATAGAAGTCTTTAAACAATTTAAGTAAGATTCCAAGAGGCTTCCAAAAAGATTCCTTGAGCTGAATCTTTTTATGGCACATTAATCAGTAAAATTATTTTGTCTGAGTTCACCATAGTATGGAGTGTTAACGTAAGTACTACACAGTATTGTCAGATCACCATGCTGAGTGGAAGTTCTGCAATTACTTAATGTGTTGGAACAGTTCTTGGAAAACAGATGGGTTCCTGTAGCCTACTGCCCAGTGACAGAGAACAATTCTTAGTCTCCTGTTTTATTTTATCTTTTTATTAGTAGCAGATTCTTTATACCTGTGTATTGATGTAATAAGAATTCTTTCCCCCCCATTCCTAAGTATACTTCATTCAAATTTTGATCACTGACATGGAAAAATGATTTTGGATTTTCTTTTCTTATGAATTCAACATGCACCAGTTAAAGGACTCCTACATACTCTCTCACTGGCAGAGTACCATCAAGAGGTATTTCCCAAGACTAACGGAAAGAACTAAGTGGATATGGTAGGAATGTCCAAATTTTTTTGACAGAAATTAAAAGTATGTAGGCTCATAAAGTTGCTTTGATCACAAAGTTAAGAACAAGTTTCTTCAACTTTATTCATACCTATTTTTTAATATAAGCAATTTTTCAAAATGTTCCAATTTCAAGTAATAATTTTAGGGAAAATAAACTTGAATTATTTTACTTCCACTTCTAGCAATGTTGGAGTAACAAGAATTGGGTTTAACCTTCTTCAGTCATAAACAACTAGAAAACTGGAGGGAAAAGAGATAAATAGCTGTTTTGAGACACTTAACAAAGAATGGGAAAGAAAAGTGTGTGGAGAGTCTACATTTGCCCTGGCTTTCTGCCTGCTGACAATTTCCAGATGACAGAGGCATAGGGAGGAAGAACCTAAACAAACCCCAGTAGCCTGAGTTGGAAAGATGAATTTCAAGGAGGTGGAAGTGAACGGGGAAATGCAGGGAAGAATTCTGCAAAGTAAGGAGGAATCTGCAGGAAACAAGCTCCAAAACTCTGCATAAGAGTCTTCTTTACCGAGTACTAGGTCCAGCATACACGGTGTAAGATCAAGATTCCCACCCGGCCAGGTATAGCTCAGTGGCTGAGCATCAACATATGGTCCAGGAAATCGTGGTTCGATTCCCAGTCAAGGCACATGCCTGGGTTGCGGGCTCGGTCTCCAGTGGGGAACATGCAGGAAGCAACCCTTCAACGACTCCCTCATCATTGATGTTTCTCTCTCTCTCCCCTTCTCCCTTCCGCTCTCTGAAATCAATAAAGATATATTTAAAAAAAAAAAAAAAAAACCT